TATATATATATATATATATAAAGTATGATATTATATCTAAAAATCATATTCAGCAGATAGCATCATTTTCATTCAAAATTTCAATCTTCAATTTCATTTTTTCCAGTTTCAATTCAACAAATATATGATTATGTTTCCTAAGCCCTTCATTAACCCAGAAATTATTTAGGCAGCATCAAAGTTTTCCCATGCGATTAGCTCTGTGGCCTTTCCCTCTCCCTCTCCCCCTCTCTCTTTGTAACTCTTTAGACTGCTCTAAGACTAACTGAAATACTTAGTCGTTTGATGCCGACACTCGACTTTCCGTAGCGCTCCATTGCATGCATATCAAATTAGCGTCAGGGCGACATATCCCAGACTGAAAAAAATAAACAAATAAAACAAAAAAACAGCTTGCAAACAGCTGAAGACAAAATGCATTAGACATGAGCTCATCTTGTAACTATTTTTCATTTTATTTTCCATGTGCTTTTCACGACAAAATCTTGTCCAAGTCGCGCATGTCCCTTTTTAATTTATAGCCTCACGAGTTTGAATTTATGTGCCAGGGAGATGCCAACTGTACAAGATGATGTTTAAATTGAAGTTGAAGCCAAGTCAGTTTAAGCAATAGCTTAAATAATTTAGCAAGCAGTACTATTGAGGCTGTAGAAGGAGAAGAAGAACTGACAGCTAATTTAAACTGGCTTGAACTGAAATTCTTTTCAAAAATAAATAAATATGCATGAAAGGTAGTGTTTTAAGTAGGAATAAATTAATTTTAAATTGAATTTTAACAAAAAAAGTTTGATAAGGCATTGCGATTCAAACCCCGAATTCAAATTTACGGAATCAGTAGTCATTGCCAAAAGAAATTCCTGCTTAAGGTTATCTATTTTATAAGACTTTTATTTTCTTCTTGAGCTGCCCTATTTCCTTTAGTATATCGAACTATTTGCGCAGATGCTTCGTAGAATATTACCCACAGCAAGAGCAAATCTTAATTTAGATCTTTTGCACAAAGGGGCTTGAACTTCGTACCCCGACTTTCAATCCAAGCGAAACTGTCGACAGAACTCAAAGAACTGCTGCTGTATGTATGTAAGCCAGAACCTAAAGCATATGTTATAATTGCATATAATCATGCTCTGCGATTTTTCAAAGTGGGATGCCAACAAATGATTTCTGATGTTACCTTACCGCTCGCTTTGAGCAGGGCCAAGTGTAGCGCCCGCTGGCAAAGTGAAGTGTTCAATTTGTGCGCAACCTTGGCGCGGGCGAGTGACACAAACACAACAGTCACCGACAACAAAACAAAATAGCAACAGCAACAGCAACAGCAACAGCAACAACAACACGGCACGTAGCACCCTTTGACAGCTGTCAGTTAGATTTAGGCCACAGTTGGTTGGCCAAATGAAATGTGGCCCAAATATGGAGCAAAAGTGCTTAAGCTTTGCCAGTTTATTCAACTTTACACTTCAAATCGAGAATTGCGTTTAGAAGGGCTAATGCCGATGCTAATACTAATGCTAATGCTAATGTGGATGCGGTTGCTGTAGCTGCTGAGAACTGCCCCACGTGCAATGCTGCGAACCGTCAAGCTCTTCTGCGCAGATCCGCATTCAAAAAGTTGTTATTGTTGTTGTTGTTGGCGCTGCAATTGTCATTGTTGTTGTTGCTGCTGTTGTTATGAATCTTTGAAGTGCACAAACAAAAGCGCCTCAAGTGCAGCTGACGACAGCCGCAGCAGCAGCAACAGTAACAAGTAGGAGAGCTTCTATAGGGTATGATCGACTATATGTGCACTGACCCATGAGCGATGTCTTTGAACTCATTACTCTTTCATCAATACAAGAACACCTAACAATTCATAATTAGTTCAACTGATCGTTTAATGAGATTTTACAGAATCGAAATAGATAACATTTTGAATTAAATTTGGAATTTCATTGCTGAATAAAATAAGTAAAATAATATCGGCTTTGTGTATATATCTCAATTACTGTATTTAGCTAGAGTTGATAATATTTATAAAAAAAAGTTTGATTTAAGTACTGGCTCTTAAATTCTGCGAATTAAGTTATAAAAACAAACATTTACAATCAATTTTTATTGACAAGAAATTTAAAAGCAACAGAAAAACAACAAGTAAATTTATCACAGATGAATCCTGTAAAGGAAGGTTTTCATAGTAATAAAAGTCCTCTTAAGAGCTCATGCAAGATGATTCCCCCCGTCTATACAAAACCAATATACCCTCTTCATTCCTTTTCAATGGGCATATTTCAATATTAGATGCTTCAGTCGCTGATTGTGTTGATGCTGAAGGTAAATGCGTTGTCTCAAGATTCGCATTCGCATTCGCATTTCAGTTGGTCGCCCGTTGCACGTGTGCCCAAAAAAAAAAAAGGAAGTTAAGGTTGCAACAACCACTACAATAACAATAACAACAACAGCGACAACTGTGTTGTAATGTGGCAAGCGCCTCATTTGTATGCGTCACTGGCTTAATAAATTCCCAATTAATTAGAATCAAAATCGTCATCGTTATATAATGCTAATGAAGCGCCGCACAATGGAGCAGAATTTGTGGAATTATCAATATATGGATATATTGAAATAAATATACCCCAATTTGGTAACTGTGATGCCACAAGTTTCTGGGCTCAAAGAGAGAGGAAATATTGAAGCTTGCTTCGTTTATTCACAATAAATAAATATTCATACCGTTAACTCTTTCCATTCACAAAAAAAGTTCTATTTTCGTATTAATACTATTTATTTATTTAATATACGCAATTAGTTATACTCTTAATGCTCGTAAATCTTTCTATGCACTATCTTTATATAATTTATTTTCGGAATGACTAGAATCAATGTACATATATAGGATAATTAATCTACTCTAAACAAAGAGTACAAAGTGTAAGCTAAAGTTGAATCGATATTGAATTTTTGTCATACTCTAATGGACTCGCTTTATTGGTAAAAATTTTCCAGATAGACACCAAATTTCATGGGCTAACGACAACAAAGATGCGATTTTATCCAATTGATTAATTTAATCTATTAAAGCTGGTTACTAGAAGTAGATTACTAATGACACTTTGGTATATTGTAATGTAAAGCTCCCAACTAACTGGTTTTCTACCTATTTGAGCTTTGATTAGACTAGTCGGTGTCTCAGTTGGTCAAGAATTACTGGAGCAAAGTCTTCGTCTTTGGCGTTTTTATTAGATTTGATAACACGTATAAAATATAGAAATATAATTTAACTAAGTCTGTTCTGTTCTCTCCTATCGCCTATCTTCTGTCTTTTGTTTGCTCTCCAATGCTTTCAAGGGTTCCCGATCAAATTAGAAACACTTGCGATGTATTATGCTGGGTCCCAAATCGTCGTATTCGGAGGAATCAATCCACATATTTTGAAAGCTGGAGAGCGACGCCAAAACGGAACCGCCCGACCAGACGGCAAAGCAACGTTCCGGATTCGCCGTAATTTTGATGCGCATCGTCGAGGGGGCCATGACTGCAATATCCTCCTGCAGACGCACCTCGATGTTGCGGAACATGGTCGTGCCTCCCGAGAGCACAATGTTCGCATACATGTCCCGCCGCAGATCCATGTCGCATTTCTGTATCGAATTGTAGACCGCCTCGTGCAGGCCGGGGACCTCCAGGCCCAGCATGTTCGGCTTGAACAGTGCCTCCGGGCAACGGAAGCGCTCGCTGCCAATGTTGATGGTCGTGCCATCGGGCAGTTCGTAGAACTCATCGAAATCCGATTTATTCTGTGCGCACTGAATCAGTTCCTCATCGAAATTGCTGGCCACGTAGCAGAGCTTCTCCTTGATCTCCCGAATGATTTCGCGCTCTGCACTGGTGCTCATTGTGTGCCCGCGCTCCATCAGCAGCTTGCCCAGGTAGTCGGTCAGATCTCGTCCGGCCAGATCTAGGCGCATGCAGGCATGTGGCAGGGCGTAGCCTTCGTAGATGGGCACCGTGTGGGTGACTCCGTCGCCAGAGTCTACGACGATGCCAATGGTGCGTCCCGTAGCATACAGAGACAGTACCGCCTGGATGGCGACATAGAGCGCGGGGACCCGGAAACTCTCAAACATTATTTCGGTCATCTTTTCGCGATTCTTTTTTGGATTCAACGGTGGTTCGGTCAGCAGCACCGGATGCCCATCGGAGTCGACGCGCAGCTGTTCGAAGGTGTGCTTCCAGATCTTCTCCATGTCTGCCCAATTGGTTACGACGCCGTGCTCGATGGGATACTTGAGTGTGAGTATGCCACGCTTTCGCACGGCATCGTCACCAATGATGCAATCGTCGATGGCTGAATCGACGATGACGTTCATATGACGGGGTCGTCCCACAATCGAGGGGAAGACGACCCGGGGTGCGGATTCGTTGGAGAAGCCCGCCTTGCATATGCCGGAGCCATTATCGATGACGATAGCAGTTGAGAGGTCATCCGATTGCATATTGGGACTGCCTGCAGATGCGATCAAATGATGTAAAGACTTAAAGACACAAGCCCTGAAAGAAGAGAAGATCAGTGCCGAAAAACTTACGATGCTTTAAAGATTTGAACAGAATTTGTTGTGCCCGTTCATCAGAAATATCGATTTCAATTTTCGAAGGCATACAAAACTCAGACATATTTTCCTGTGTGTGCCCTCGCACGATTTTCCCTTGTGTATGGCATAAGTATTTCAAATTAAACCGCTTCAAATATTACTACATTGTGCAGCACTGCAAACGGAATTGCTGTTTCATTCATTCATTCTGTTAACCGCTGCAGAATACACAATTGCGGTATTTTGTATTTTTGGTATATCGAATGCTAGTATTTTGTGTCTTCAGTTCTGGGTGAATTAAATTTAGTTAACGGTGAGTATTTCATGTTCCCGTCTTGTGAAGTATTTCTAGCGGTTTCAGTGCGTTTCAACTGCATCGTCGTAAGTAAATTGAGATCGATTCGTGAGCATCCACAGCACAATTAGTTATGGTATTTTTTAGGTGCTTTTCTGTAGAGTTTTTGTCTGTATTTCGAATGTGTGCCAAACACTGTCACACTTCATCCCGGTAAGCAAATTAAATAAGGGGTTTATTATAGAAAATTTGTAAGAAAAAAATATTCCCCAGTTAATAAAACAAATCGATCAAGTATGTTTCTGGCACGCAACTTCACCAAGGCAGCACGGTAAGTGTTCATAAATCGATTTATTAATTAAGCCGGCGTTGACGCCAAAATGCGATTACATAAATTTTATAGCAACAACAACGAATAACAATGGCGACCTTTACAGTTAAAACATATAATATACATTTCTAATTATTATCACAGATCTGTCAGCTCTCGAGGCAAACATACGCTGCCAAAGCTGCCTTACGACTATGCCGCCCTGGAGCCGATAATTTGCCGTGAGATCATGGAGCTGCATCATCAGAAACATCATCAGACCTATGTGAATAATCTAAATGCTGCCGAGGAACAGCTGGAGGATGCCAAAAGCAAGAGCGACACCACGAAGATTATTCAATTGGCTCCTGCTCTTCGCTTCAATGGCGGTGGCCACATCAATCACACGATCTTCTGGCAGAACTTGTCGCCCGGCAAAACGTTGCCCAGCGACGATCTGAAGAAAGCCATCGAATCGCAATGGAAGAGCTTCGATGAGTTCAAGAAGGAGCTCAGCGCGTTGACCGTTGCTGTGCAGGGCTCTGGCTGGGGCTGGCTGGGCTATAACAAGAAGACGGGCAAGCTGCAGCTGGCTGCGTTGCCCAATCAGGATCCCTTGGAGGCCTCTACTGGATTAATACCTCTGTTCGGCATCGATGTATGGGAGCATGCATATTACTTGCAGTATAAAAATGTGCGTCCCTCGTATGTGGAGGCCATTTGGGATATTGCAAACTGGGAAGACATCTCTTGCCGCTACCAGGAGGCAAAGAAACTGTCCTAGATGAACTATTCTCAAATGTCTATATGTTAAATGTAATCATATGAAAGCCATAGGCTTTCTCGAATGTAGTCAAATCTGTCGGCTAATAAATTGATAACCAACGCCGAAGTCTGAAATCAAAACAGAAATCGATAGACTTGTGTCACCCTGTATCAGCTGTTGTGTGTAGTCGTTTACCAGCACTAGAATGACAATTGCTCAGCTGTTCGCGCTGGCCACAACAAAAACAAACTCGGGCTGTCCATCGCCTGGGTGGGCGTAAGAACTCATCTAGCGCGGCTTTTCCACGGTTTTCCCACGCTCGCCTGCGCAAGTGCAAACAATTTTCCAGCACGCGTAACACAAATCGCCAAGCGACAGATCCATTTGGCGTGCGTACGCGTTCGGTACGGCTACAGCGGAAAACTGAAATGCAAATTCGCTGCAAGTAAAACAAAGACAAAAAAAAAAAAATAATAATAATAATAATGAAAAATTAATTTATAATCATGCAAACACTCTAAGCGATACGAAAAACTGTGCAAAACGTCCTCAGTGCAATAATATTGTGAGAAGAACATAACAATTGCTGTAGGAAACGACGCAATTGCAACGGTGGTCTTATTTGGACATTGCAATGTGAGTAGCGCGTAAATTGTTTTTAAATTAGGTCTCTTTCTGGGGCTCTTTGGTATGTTTTGTTGCTATTTTTCTGGTGTGTGTTGGCGGTGACTAATGTAAAAATGTATCCAACGCATTTCGCTTGAAAAATCAATATTCCAGCCCAGGACAGTAACAGCGTCCTGTCATGCGCGAATGCACACATACACACGCACACACACATACACACTGTTAGAGTCTACTGTTATCCTGTTGCTGTTGTTGCCAGCTGTTGGCCTTCCTATCTTGTCTCTGAAACCCTGCTAAAAATAAACCGCATTAGAGCATATGGTGCAACCTGTCATCAGCCAGAGACAGCGGCTAACAGGCGTTTCTGCAATTTCATATTTCTCGTTGCCTGCCGCCAGGCGCTGCCCACGCTCCACAGTTGTTGCTGTTAATGTAGGTTTTATTGTTGTTGTTATTTGCGTTATCAGATTGCAAATTGACCGCGAGTCCCGTTAACTGACGTCAACGCAATTCAGTTTTAATGGCTTGTTGTCTGGTTGCTGAGTTCTATCTGTGTGCTAGAAATTAACATTTATAACTCTTATGAATTATATTTCAGATTAGTTTTATCTTATGAACGCTATGGATTCGAATTTTATTGAACTTTTTTTATTTGTTTTAATTTTTAATTATCATTGTTCGTTAATAATTATAAATAAAAAGGTACTATAAGATTTTGTAGTACTTCATTATAATAAATAGATTTCCCATATATCTAAATATCTAATAAATTCATTATAAATGCAATAATAATACAATATTGATTAGCAATAGTTCAACTCAAAACTAATACGGATTTTAAATATTTCGTCCTTGTTTTATTTTATACGTGTATATTATGTTTAAATTCTTTCCTGTAGCGGTTGTATTATCATAGGTCAGTGAGAGGCCAAGCAATTCGAAGATTTTAATTGTATATACCACAATCTCTATTTGTACAGTACAGAAAACACAATTATGTACATAAAGAAGTAGGTCCCACTTAATACATTTTCAAAAGTAGTATATATTTTTAATGTGTTTTTTTTTTATTATTATTATTATTTATACTCTATATATATACTTTATATATAATATATAGTTCAATATATAGAGTTTATTTTATTTATTTAGGATAGTCATTATTGTTGTTATTGACATATTAAATAAAAAAAATATTTCTGATATATGTCCAATAAATCTGTGTATGAAAAGCTTTTTGAGCTACGAAATATGGAAGTATTGTCCTCAAAAGCAAAATGCAATCTGAGTTCTAAAATACTCGCATACCAACAGATCTAAGTTCCCAAATACTTAAAGAGGTTTTTTTTGTATTATATTTAGTCTTTCTTCAAAGACCTTGCGGCAATTTTTAAATTTTGTATACATAACTTGACCGCAATACTCTTTTATTAGCACATAATCCATAACTAGTTTCCCAGCTATCTAATAAGCCATAACTTGATATATATTAATAATAAATACTAGTAATTAAAACTAATATAGTTTATTAGTATTTGGTTGATATTGTGAAAGCCCTGATTGCGCAGAACCTCTGACCTTTTCAGCCCTCAAGTTGTTATTGGCCCACTTGTGTGTTTCTGTGTGTGTTTGTCCATGTCAATGCTCAAGTCCTGGCGATGTCCACAACCATGTTTCCGTCCATCTGTCCTGTTTGTCCACACGATGAGTGGGCGTTCCGTGTTTCCATATGCGCATCAGCTGCCACCGCAAACAATTCTCTGTGTGCGTCATGAGAGCAGTTCCTGAACGTGGGCGAAACTATGGCAAATAATTTAAGGAGTTTTAAGTATAACATAGAGCGCTTCAGTAAGTTCGAGAAGGCTGTAAGGAAGGTTAAACATCAAATTGTTGGCTATTTGCTATATTTTTCTCGGAATTATTGGGTAAATAATTCTTGTTCGATGTGACTTACGAGCTCAGTGCTTAATTTTGAATTAGGGAACTTGTTTTATTTTATGAACTACCTTAGCTAGAACAAAAAACATTATTTTCTAAACATTTATAGAAGCTGAAGTATTCGAAAGTTTTTGTTTCATAAAGTGCTCGAAAATTTGACTTTCATGATCTTGAAAGAAAAACTTTCGACTTCTATAAATTACAAGAAAATATTATGTTCTTTAAATTTACAGAACTTCTAATTATCTAAATTTTAGAGAGTAAGCCAAAAAATAGACAATCTCATCAGTCTTTCTAGTTTACTCTGATTCTTGCACTTGTTCCTCTTGCATTATCAAATTTTATTCTTATTCATATACTGAATTTTAGCTTATTTTAATAGTCCTTACCGAAAGTAGTAAAGCCTTGCCACATGTTTGCCTTTTGCTTCCCACAGGCGCAGCATAAAGTGCTTTTCCAAACGCATGAATAAATAAAAACTCACTTAAAACAAGCAGGAAAAAATCACAAAGGCATGCAAAGCGTTTTATAATACACCGAACTGTGTTTGCCGTAACGATGTTAATAATTCAAGTACTTCTTTTTCAACATCGGATGGCCAGGCAAAATTCATGTGCTTACGTTCATTTATCCCCCCATTTTTTGTTACCTTAAATTGTCAAGCTTAATGAGTAGCTTGTGCTATTCCACGGTATAGGGTAAAATTATAGCTGGCAAGCAATAAACATAAATTTCCGCTAAAAATATAATATAAAAGCTGGGGCTGCAAAAAGAATAAAATTAAAATAAAAAAGAAGAAGCATAAAGTGAGAAGTCGCGACCGCACGCAGTTGCAGTGGGGAGTCGGTGGCTCACCTGCTTTACCTGGCAGTTTTTGCAGCCGCAGGACCGTAAAATGGCTTCCTGGCGGAAATTTTTTGCTCCACTCTTTGTTTTAAATATTGCACAAATGTATTAGCCCCCTCGACCACAGGGTGGTTCTTTAAGTGCACACGAATATTATGACTGCTCACTCTGTGAAAGAGGCATATTAGCTTTCAATAACATAATATGTCGGTGACCATTTTTCGATTCAGTATTGGAGTATAATAAATTTGACTGCAAACAGTATTTAACACGTCAATAAAATTTACTACGCAACTTCTTCACTTATCAGAGATGCAGTTCAGTGACTAATAAAAACTTCAAGAACTTTTGATAGTAGTAGTAGTAGTAGTAGTTGCTAGCTTATCAAAAGCCACACTAGTCATAAACTATTTGTTTTATTATACCCTCTTTTCTATTCTATTGCGTATTATGGCTATCTATTTAAATAAAACTAAAAAACAAGTAAGAAAGCTCTAGTCGAGACTGCTCGACTACGAGATCCCCTGA